AAACATACATCTTGCTTGTAAACCATATCTAAATTAAAGTTTTTCTTACATTCTGTCCGAATTAGTGCACATATTTTGTTTTCTCAAGCAAAAATATCAAGTTCTGATTCTGATCATACACATCACAAATCACAAACTTCTTTAACTCTTTCTTGAAACGTTTATTTGCCTATTCTGAAAGATATTTTCCGATATGTTCGTCTTAATATTGATGTGAAACTTCTTTTTCTCGACGATTACCATGACCAGAAGAGAAAGTCGGAAAGTGTGTTGGTAGTGGAAAAAAGTTTATTTAAAAGTGACGTAGCTACTCAAGAAGAAACTAGTTTTTGATGAAGCTAAGCAATGATATTAGTGACCCTCTATCTCAACAAGCAGAGAGGCCCTATTGCTGAAAAATAGTTCGACACGTTATCGAACATTTTGTTTCAAATAGATAGAAACTACAAATGGGCACTCCCTGATTACATTTTATTTAACTGGTTAAGTTCGACGATTTTGCATTAAACTCATTATAACCGATATTTTTCTTCTGCAGAAAAGTAAATCAATATTGGGACTAAAAGACAAAATTTATTCGCTTTCATTTCGTTCGCTAGAGAAAAACATATAATTTAGGTTTAGATTAAATTGAATTGTGAATCCTTGACAGGATCCTTGCAGGATTTGCTAAATAGAACAGAGGAGAAATGAACACATAGAGTATCGATCGCTTAACATTGGTATTGAAATTCTGTTGTGGCTCGCAAAGATCTTAACTAGATCCTTGTATTTTCTCATCACGATCCTGATCATACTTGTACTTTTTATGGAACTCCCTCACTAGATTCGAAGAAGAAGGAGTAACAGTATTATACCCCAAAAACGCTGGTTTTTAGGATAAATTTAGCAGGATACCGACCGAAGCTTGGCAAGACTTATCAGTTGTGGATTCTGAGTAATCTTGTTTTATTACAGGTAAAATCAAGAATCAAACTTGACATGATCCTTCACATTTATGATGCTGAAAGATCCTTCTGGGCTCTCTGAAGAAATGAACACGGTTGAGTAGACTAAACAGTAACCTGCAAAGATCTTTACTAAATTCTTATATTGTTTCATCAAGATCCTTATAAGGATTGATATTGTCTTGCACGGTCTGGAAACTGATATTCTTGAAAACTTCTGAACAAGATCCTGACTGAAGCTTTGCAGGATTAGTCAGTTTCATATTCTGATTGATCTGGTAATTTTCTTGCAAAGACCGTTGTCTGATGTGGCTATCACTCCTAACAGGATCCCGATACGAAGATCTAGCACAGATCGGGACGGAAACCTGATAAAATCTTGGCAGAATCCTGTCTTATAATCGTGTGATCCTTGACAGGATCTAGAGTAGATCCTGTATTCTGAGCTCAGAAGCTTTAACCTTGAAAAATCATGGAAACAGGAATTAATAGGATTTGAAACAGGACCCTGAATAAAACTCGACAAGATCCTGTAGATTCAGGATCCTGAAAGATCTTTTCAGGGTTTCTCAAGGAATGAACAGGATTGAGACTAGGGATCGTGAAAAAGGAGGAAATTCGTTCAGTATTTGGAAATTATTAATCAAGCCTAATTACCTAAGTTTTGGACACGTTTGGTGACAAAAATGTTTCTTTGAGGTTCAGCTCTTACCAACGGAAAAAAAATCAACTCTTCAGCATATTCCTAGCACAGACGGAAGTGCGGGAATGTTTGAAAAAATGAAAAAAAAATTTATTAATAAATAGATTATTATCATTACGTATAAAGCTTAATAGAAAGCACGCTTAATCACTCCTGTTTATATAAGTTAACGGTAATAATCTATTTTAGTGCTTTCATTTTAAAAGATCTCCGAGACATGCAACGAAACAAAGACAATCTATCGTCTTAGGATTAATAAAATAGAAGAAAAATCATAATTAAAAATTATTTTACTAGTGTGTGCTAAAGGTGCGCACAAGTTAAAAGCGT